AAAAAGTATTTATATTAAAAGATAAAAAAATTATTTATTAAAATAAAGAAAAACCTTGTGTTTTTTTAAGCAAGCAGCCAAAAATTAAAAAATGTTTTCTTAAAGGAAGAAATTTAATATAACAAACATAAAAAAACAAATTCTTCTATTTGCAAATAAAAGCATATTTTGCTTTTACTTTATATTTTACTAATTCAAATATATTTGTTGCTTGATTGAAATAATCAATTCCTCTTTGCAAGTATTTAAATAAATAATTTTTTTAAATCAAAAAAATTTTTTTGGATTTGATACATTTTTTTCAGTGTAGTTTATATAAATTAATGTAACTACGAATTTGGAAAGCAGTAAGCACAGAAGAGAGAAATTGTTTTCAAAGAATTTTTCACAACTCTTTTCATCGCTCTTCAATTTTTCCGCAGTCCTCGAGAACTATGCGAATATTTACGAGCGGAGATATGAATTTGCGACGGAGGTATCGAAGGAGAGTCGCCGCTGCTCCTCGTGCAATACGTCTGGCGGTTTTACGCACTGCCTTTTCCAGCGGCGATGGCGAGCGGCGCCTTTGTACTCGATCGTGCGTTTCGGTCGATATCCGATATTTGCCGCGCAGCAGCGCAGGCCGACGATGTAATCGATCGTTTCTCGCTTTACTCGAATCACGCCGATTAAATCTACCGTTTATACGGCGCTCGGCAGCGTTCGAGGCGTTTCGCAAGGCGGCGATACGAGCGCAATTCTTATTAAAATCGGACGCGAATTATACGTTCGATCGATTAGGCGGGATTCGATCCGATCGCTGTGGCAAGATCCGCGATTTTCTAATTACGCGTTTGATAATGTAATAGTATGTTGGCGAATCTAGACCGGAATTATTAATAGCCAAGTTTTTATTAGAGACAATTCGCACAGAGAAATATACGTATAATTACGTATAATTGTAATTAATTACATCTCGCATATTAATAATATATATTTATTTGAGAGAAATTTTCACGCTTGGAATTTTCTATTGTAATGAAAATTGTCAACACTACAAAGCTTAACTAAAAAAAATTTAAACTGTTTATATTATTAGAAAACATTATAATGTCTTTTCCCCTCTGAAAGAAATATTTCGTTGTTAATTGACAATCATAATATTCTACTAATTAAGGGAGCATACCCGTTTGAAACCTCGAAAAATGAGTACATTTTCTAGATTTTTTTGCAGAGCAACGATTTGCAAAATTTTTAATTTTTTTACAAAATTAATACATTATTATTTACTACTTAAATAAAAATTTCTTAAAAAAATTTGTTTTTGAAGTTATGGGAATATTTGCAGAGCTCCAAATTTGAAGTTGCTGCACGGTGTGCATGAAAACGTTCGTAGATCATATCCGAAATAAAAAATACAAGCTTTTTTTTATTAAACATATTAATAGCTATCTGCTATCCAAGCGATCCTCCATAATTTAAAAAAATAAGAAAATGGCGGCGTGTTGAAAAAAAGTTTCGTTTTTTTTTAAATCCATCTTTTCTTGTTTATAACAAAAAAATGGGAAATTGGATTTAAAAAAGGCTTCGTTAGCAGATGAGAACCTTATTAGGAACTCGCATGCAAAATTTGAAGTCGATTCGTCGAACGTAGCTCGAATTTTCATGTACACCATGCATGAAAACACAAATCTGCAAATATTCGCATTTAAAAAAAAAAAGTTTCTTTTAAGCTGAAATTTTTATTTAAGTACTTAATAATATTGTATTAATACCGTAAAAAAAAGTTTTTATTAAATCGTTGCGCTGCAAAAAATCTAGAAAATGTACTCATTTTTCGAAGATTCAAATGGGTATGCCCCCTTAATAAATTAATATACTTTTCCAAAAATCATATTCTATCTTTAAATTTATAACATCTTATTCCACGGATAGAGACACCTTCAGTGACTTAAAAATAACCGGGTGCTTCTGATCCATTTTATTTTTCTATAATTTATTCCTTAAAATTTACTTTTTCTTTCCTCGTAAATGTTAAACTACAATCTCCGGAAAGTTATATGTCCCGTCGTGCCACCCGCATAGTGACGACTCGTGCTTCCGCGTTCTCGCATCCATCTTCAGCATCGCGAAGGCTCTTGATCCTTTATGTACACGAGCCAAGTCGATCGCTTCGACCACACATACCGTAGGACGTGAATGTAAAAAGGATCCCGCGCGCGGCGCGGCGGAATCCATCGGGGTCCCGAAGTCTCGGATTTCGTCACAGTCCGCTTGCTGCGTGAACACGGATTGGACGCGGCCCGGTGTCGCCCGCTCGCGACTTCGTCCTATTTTTACCGATTATTCGCCGTGTCCTCCCGATCGGGAGCCCGTGAGAGGCACCGCCGACGATGATTTCTCGGTGACCTGGCAGCTGGTCCTGGCGGTCCGTTACGAATCCGGCCGGGGGTTCACCAAAATGACGATGATCGAGGAGAATCCATCGAGGGACTCGCGGAATGGAACTTTGCGATATCGTAACTACGCGAACACCCGAGGGAGATTCGCGCTCTTCGAAAGAGGATCCTTCGATCTCAAGAGGTCTCGAGTGTTTAAGATGATTCGGTGGATTTCTTGGAGAAAATGCCGGATACAAAGAATTCAACCTTTTCTTCGCCTTGCGGTGGCTATTTCTGACAGAGATCGCTGTTTTTCCAAATATTCACTTTCCCTCTTGTTCCAAAGTATCCATGATCGGCGCGTGGATCGACCTGCTAAAATAACACTACGACGAGGAAAATATTTGCTAGGAAAATTGAAGTGACATATTTGACAAGACGAAAACAGAAAATGTTATACGAAAAATCTCCGGCTATACCTATATATCTTGAACAGACGAAGACGAGTTCATCGAGGTCTCTGAGCGCGCAAAGACCCCCCAGTAAGATAATGCGTGCTCTTGCTCTCTCACCTTGAAACCTAGACTCGTCTTAGCCGCCGGATAAGCCGCCAAAGCTGACACTAACCCCGTTAGCTCATGCAGCTTCTGGCATCTTAAACCATAGTTTATTTGCCAATTCTAATCCCATTTTAATCCACAGCAAAATATATGCCATCATCTGGAAATCTTTTTCTAACGGCAAGAAAAACGGATTATTTTCTTTGACTTACAGCTTAGTACTTACATCTTTTCTGTATAAACGTGTTTATACAGAATGCATTCAATTACGAGTCTAGAAATTTAGGAAAACAGAGTGATAAAAATTTTGAAAAAAAACGAATTAAAGAAAATTGCAGACAAATCGTATCAAAATTGTTTTTCCAGCTTGTTAAAGATTCCTTGTGTTAGAAAACATGCAGCGTTGTAAAAATATGCTATTTCAATAAGGATAATGTATAAAATAAAAATAATAGCATTTTTTTAAATAGTTAAGAGAAAAATATTTAAGATTTTTAATTACAATAACATTTTTTTTTTTAAATAGTTAAAAGAAAAATAATTAAGATCTTTAATTTTGACATTTATTATATTTTTATATATTTTAGAAATTTAATATGTATCAAGAACGTGCAACTATGATTTAAAAAGAAAAAATTAAAGTCTGCAAATTAGAATTATTTTATAAAATAAAATAGTTTTATATCTCTCTCTTTTTAATGATTTTCTTGATAAAATAATTTTTATTACGTTGTAAAGGAGATGAATGTCCGCTAAATTATCACCAAGAGCTTAACCACTCCACAATTGAAATAGGAATATCACGATGGATCAGCGTATTTCACGTATCAACCGGATCGATCCACGAACGCTTAACGAGGAATATCGAATTTCCCGTATCCACGTCTATATCATTGCTATAACCAAACGAAACTAATCCAGACGGACCGTCTTAACTACCCTAACTAAAGCAACAAACGCGCGCGCGATGTTACCGTGTCAGCATTTAGCTATGGACGCTTCCATGGATTTTTCCCGCACGCACTTACACACACCTCAATTTATGCGCGCGCGCGTGTGTGTGTGTGTGCGCACGCAATTTCTACCTAGTTCACGCGGATGTCGACGCAGGGTGGTCTTCGACGAGTTTTGTCAGGGGCTGAAAAGTGCGTCGTGACTCGACCGGATCGCTTTTTCAACCCTCGGCTCCTGCACGGTTAAATCATATTTGTACGCCTGATTCGTACGTACCGGACCAGGGGACAGAGAGCAGAGAGGGGGGAGGGGACTCTCTCTTTTGACTCGGTCTTTAACCGACCGGCGCTGCGAGGCAAGACTTCACGCTTTCGTTACAGATTGTTGGATCTTGACACCGTAGTCTCCCGTCGACAATGCTCTCTACCGAAAGACGCGAGAAGAATACCAAACAAAGAAAGGTAGCACTTTCTATAATAATTTACTCCTGTCCTATGGGGATATGTAATTGATATCGCTTAAAATATATGATTTGTTACTACTTACATGGTTTTTTTTTTTCCATTGAATGACTGAAGTTTACAAATCATTATTATTTCCTTCTAGGACCACCGGCAGCGAACTTACTAATAAGTTAGTGAAACTTAAGGTTTTCATAATTCCGGAATATCGAAGGTTTTTCTCGCCTTTAAATATGTCGACATATATCCTTTCTTCAACTGGTTACACCTATAATTGCCTTGTGTGAATACATATAATAATTATTTGCAACATATTTTCAGATTCTTTTCCTAGTTTTATAATAGAATCTCAATAATTTTATTTATGTTAATTTTAATGTTATTTTCTTGTTTTACATTTATGTTCATTGGTTTTTGTTAAACAATAATCATGTTAAAACCAAAATATAAAATTTAAATTAGTTATGTTTTGTATAATAGATAAAAAAAAGATAGAGAAAGAGAAAAAGAATTTTCCTCCGTATTATTAATTTTTGACTTTTGAAGTATATAAGTATTGACAGTCTTTGACATATATCCGATTTTTGCACCATTTCGGCCCACCTAAAGAGTTAAGAAGTCATTTAAAAGTTGGGTAAACTGTGTGTCAGCGGGCACATTCACTTGAGTAGAGTTTGAAATAAGAATGCGATCGTACCGAAAATAAAATCCCATCAAAATATATTGTATTTTTGACAGTCTTAAAGTCTTTCTCGGTAATCTGCGCTTAGGTGACAGCAAAGAACCACAAAATTTGAAAGATTTTTTGCGAGCGGAATCGTCAAAATTGACGCGAATGTAAAAACACGGAATGGACATGGAAAGGCTCAAACATTCTAGGTCAGTAGTCCGCGAAATAATAATCCTTTTTCGGCGGGGGATCCTGACCATCGCTTTTTGTATCGATTCTCCAAGATTTTAGATCTCATTAAAAATTATATATTTAAATAAACTCTCTCAACGGGTACACCTTGACGTTGGTGGGAGGACTTAGTACCTGGAAGGTATATCCTGTAGGGGAAGCTAAGTATCCAAACGTAATAAGAATGCGATCGTACCGAAAATAAAATCCCATCAAAATATATTGTATTTTTGACAGTCTTAAAGTCTTTCTCGGTAATCTGCGCTTAGGTGACAGCAAAGAACCACAAAATTTGAAAGATTTTTTGCGAGCGGAATCGTCAAAATTGACGCGAATGTAAAAACACGGAATGGACATGGAAAGGCTCAAACATTCTAGGTCAGTAGTCCGCGAAATAATAATCCTTTTTCGGCGGGGGATCCTGACCATCGCTTTTTGTATCGATTCTCCAAGATTTTAGATCTCTACTCGAGAAGATTAGATACAATTCAAAATTGTCAACATTGTGGTCACTGTGGTGACATGGGCTTACTTCACGTGTGAAAGTAATTTCGATTTAATCTGCTGAAAAATTGACGGCAAGAAAGGCAATTCTTCAAAGAACAAATCTTACATTAGATGTTGTGTTAGTAAAATAAAAAAAGAAAATCAGTCTTTAATATCTATTTTCATGTATATATTATCTAAAGATTATATTAATTACAAAGTTTACACTTTATGAGTATAAAAAATTTGCTTATAAATATTTATAATATTTTTATTACCTCTTAAACATTCTTAATCCTTACATAATTATATAAAATTTAAATTGACTACAAATATAAATTAGCAATGTGTATTGATAAATTCAGTCTATTACTAAAGTGTCAAAACACGAATAAAATCGCTGTATTGATTTGATAATACTATTACATTTTCTAAACAACTCTTGATGGTAGCGATATTGCTTTAAATGCGAATTAAATTAGCATCGGCTTATAAGCCTAGAGATAGAGATCAAGCGTGCTACGGAACGTTTTGAGTGGCCACAGTTAGATAAAAAGGCTGTTTGTTGGCGTAATAACCGACGTGGCCAATCTAATTTCACGTGAAGATCCGATCGGCGCCGCATAATTGCCCTAATCAAATTCTCCACCGCCGGTCGGTGGCCGAAAAGCGTAAAGGCATCGGCGTCAACTGGCGTAAGCAAGCATGTCATCACGCGTTACGAACTTAGTTCTGCTCAAAAGACTTGGGAATCCTGCCCGTTCCCCTCTTCCTCAAGCACACTACGCGTGACTAGAACAAGAAAATAAGCACATCTTTAAAACGCCGTTCACTGAAATTTGCATCAATTGTAATTGTAATATTCCGGCAAATATTTCTTTTGCAGCGTCAATAAATTCAAATAAATGCAAATTGCGAATAAAAATAATTTTGCTAGCGAGAATCTTTTATTGTATAAATAAAGTTAAAATTACATAATTATACAATTATATTAAATAAGATAACTGAATAATTAGTAATTAATTTCAAAGTTATTGGAATATTAATATTAACCATTATAATATATGCTTTGAAAGTATTATCAAATTTTTTATTTTTATCTGCAATTCTTTATTTGTTCTATACAATTATATATTAATTGTAATCAGAACAAACAATATGTGATAGTAATACACGATAAAAATAATATTGTCAAGAGATGTGATAAACATCCCTTCACACATCAAACACGAGGCTCACCAATCGCAGCCATAGCTGGCGGCTCGCGACGAGGGGACGCGCACCTTGGTACCACGAGTGAGAACAACGCGGATCTACGGGGGTCCTGGTTAGGGTACCCTAGATGCATATACGCTGATCGCTTTGCAAAAGATCCACAAATGCGGCGTGATGCGCGACCAATCAGCGCGGCATAGCCAGCTGCCGTGTGGGTAACGCCGATCGAGGCGGCATGAAGCCCCGATTCATTCATCAAGGTCCTGGTTACAGCAGCGGCCCCCCCAAAAAATCCCCTCTTCGTGCTTTTTGTGCTCTTCACATGCCCCTTCGATGCCATTTCGAAATACGTTAAAACATATCTCGGAAACTAAGTTAGTCGAACTTTTGTTGCTGGCAATTTTTGTAATTTTTTTCTCGTACATATACATGATAATTAATCATTTAATACAAAATAAGCGAGAGAATTTATAAAAATAATTTCACTCTAAAATATCTTTGTATAAGTATAACAATAAATTAGTATCTGCTTAGTTATTATTATAAAAGTAAATATATTATTTATTTTACTTAGCCATTCTAGGTTTCAAATGTAATGATTGCAACGGCTACGATCATCACGTTGGAAAAAGAATCATCTCGAATTTTATGAATGACTTCAATAAAGATCGGGATGTCCGCGTATCAAAGATCCTTCCCGACATTGTTGAACGCTGCCGATTCGAGATCGTCGTTAAATTCGCAACACCATGATGCCGGCAGTCTCATTGCACGATATATTCCCATAATTCCCCG